ATATTTTATTTCACTCATTCCCGATTATTCATCCATGGCATAGTGGGAGACATATTACATGATTACTCGCTCAGACGTCCTAAATTCTACCAGTATAAGAAAGTAGCTGAATATGAGAGGAATCTCAAAAGAAAATATTAACATATTTTTCTTCACTCTTTAATTATGATGCTGACGAATAGCTGTTTCATTTGGCACCTAAATTAAGTATCTGTTGTTCTGTCTTAGAAATTGGAATTAAATGGAGTAATATCTTCTCACCAAGCACAATGGAGAACTTTGTCTTCGCCTATACCCTGGGAACATTTCTGTTGGATGCTGTCTTGTATGGTCTGGTGGCCTGGTATATAGAAGCGGTCTTTCCGGGAGAATACGGTGTGGCCAAGCCATGGAACTTCTTTTTGCTGGTGAGTTGTGATGCTTCAGTTGTTGAGCGAGGCCACAGTCCTTATGGACCTGTTTTGTAATTTATATAAAAGCCATCGTTAGTTAATTTTGCACTATCTGTAATTGAATCAATAAGTCAGGTGAAGGAATCATTCTAATTGCTCTAGTTATATGAATTCACTAGCCCTTTCCTAATACACTATAAAGCCTCCACTATAAACAAATATAAATAATCTGTAGATAATGGCCTGCAACCCCAAACTTTACGAATTCTAAGTAATCCATCACTTTTGCAGGTGAATGTTTCATGAGGGATTGAACTCCGGCATAAAGAAATTAATACAGGATGGGTCTTTGGATGCTAACAAGAAGAGGTTTTGTTATGTTTCATATCTGTGTACTCACCACCTGATTTCTTCCTTTGGTTAGCCCAGATTTCTTAGCAAAACGGGCGGCATGTACACCTTGCCCTCCCTTCTCAGTCTTTCCCCTTATTTTTGTTGGCTTATGTGTTGCTAAGAGAGGAAGAGATAACAGAGAGCGATATAATACATTCTGCTATGACCTCATTTGGGAGTGGTTTACTCTTGGACAGTTACGATTTCAATAGACTAGCCTGCTTTCATGCCTTGGGGATTTCAATTATAGCCAATTAGCTCTAAAATTTCATCCCAAGAAATTTTCTGCCCATCTTCATACAAAGGGTAACAGGCTAAAGTATTTTCGAATGCTTTGTTTTTCAGTGCTTTCTGTAGTGATTACATTTTTATTCTCCTCTTAGCGCTCATTCTGGTTTGGGGAAAAACCTAAAAAGAAAATTGAAACAAGGCAATTCTATGAGACAACTGAAAGCAAGTATTTTGAAACTGAACCTACTCACTTGGTGGCTGGTATCCAGCTCCAACATCTGAGCAAGGTATTGTTTTATGGGTCTCTCTCTTGATGGGACTGATACTTAGTTTACAGTTCATCGTAAATGTTTGCTTCTGGGGATACCAAGAAAGAGGTCACATGCTAATAACAGGTTCTGGTCATCCTGTTTACTTCCTGCGAGAAAGACATAAATGAAATTTACACAGCATATAGAAACCTTTCTCTTTTCTCTAGAATAAAGTCAGTTTTTCTATAAACCGCAATGGCGGTCTTCTACGAATATTTTCATTTAGAAAGGTAGAGTCTAGTGGAGCTTGAATATTTTGAGTACGTGAACATTAATTTCTGTTTGCAAATGTCTTGCGTTTGTTTGCAATCTCTTCTGTCAAGGTGTTCATCAGGAGAGGACTCGGAGCTCTCTGCTCGTCTGGACCAATTGCAGGCATGTAGCATGCAGGTGTCCCGTATATTTACTGGCACCCCATTGCCTGTCAGAGGTCTACCTAACCTTGATTTGAGCTCCTAATCCCACAGCTTCTAGAATCCCAGATCCCTCCACGCCAATTCGGCTGATTCTGGAGGTGTTTGTTTAGACACCTGCGGCCGTCTCTGCCTCTGGTGTAGGTAGCACTTGCTATCTCTGTTTTGGTTCTATCAACCGAAAATGCAAACTCAGCCTTTCACCTGGGGTCCTCAGGAAATCCATTCACATAAAACTTTTTCGGTGAATATTAGGAAACTAAAATATAGGTTAGGGCTGGGTAGGGTTGGCTCAAGGAGCATGTGGGCTAGGACCCTCAGCTCTGTTTCCCTGTTTCTCTCTCTCTGCCTCTCCCACCAGATTGCCCCTCAGAGCCGCTCTGATGTGCATTCTTCCTATACGCTCCTCAGACTTTCATATCCAGGCCCATGAGACTGCTCGGAAGAACCAGGGACCTCCTTGTACCATTCATTCATTCATTCATTCATTCATTCTTGGATGTACCAGTGAGAAAGCCATATAAGACCCACGCTTTCAAGGAGCTGACATTCTAGTGTGAATGAAAGTGGGTTAGCAAGAACAGTCAAGACAATTTCAGTGCACAGAAAATGCCGTTAGGATAGTAGATAGGGTGATGACCTAGTCGTGAAGAGGTAGGATGGGGAGCAGGAACCATTCTGGAGGTCATTCATTAAAGCCTCTCTGAAAACATGGCCATCGCGGAACACAGGCCACCCTCCCTAGCAGTCGCCTCAGCTGAACAGGGTCCCCTCACACACAGCCAGGCCCGTTGCACCCCCGGGGCTGACTTTGCTGGTGCTGCGCCGCACAACTGCCCCTTCCCACCCCCACACAGGTGCTGACCTCGAGAGCACCCCTGTGGGCTCATTTCCTCTTCTGTAGCTTTCTAGCTGCCAACCCCTGTCTTGGAGGGCACGCCCCAGGACCCCTGATTAGTGATCGTCCATCCCCAAATGACTGGAGAGAGACTCACAGGGAGTGAGCCGAGTCCTTCCTCCAGCAACCAGTACCAACTTGCCAGTCACGTGACTGAGCAGCTTTGAAAGTGGATCCTCTCATCTCCATTGAGTTTTCAGATGACTGTAGTAGCCCTTGCCAACATTTTGAATGAAAAATCGTGACAGACCCTGAGACAAAGCTGCCCACCTGAGCACTTCCGAGGCCAGAAACTATGAGGAAAAAAAAAATGTTTATTGTTGTTTTAGGCCAATTAGTTTTGGGTCATTTACTCCTCAGCAATAGGCAACTTAAATAGATTTGGTACCTGGAAGAGGTACCATGCCTTCTGCAATCGAAGCGGAGAATTATACCTTTCAAAAACAGTTCCTGGCCTGCCATTGGGTTTTGGTAGAGATGAAGCCATCGATCGTGGAACACCAAATAACTGTTCAGAACTGGCCATCCTGCGCCGGATCCCATTAGACCCACCAAATCAGTAAGGACAGGCAAGACCGGCATCTATCCATCATAGGATGGAAGTGGTACCCGAGACTGAACATGAGCAGAGTCAGCAGAGGCTGCATGAGCAGGTACCTCATGTCTTCCTCCTCTGCTGCTTCAGTTCTTCTCAGCTCACGCCCCTAAACACACTGGGGTTTGATATATGCCGACTTGCAGAGGAGGAAAAAACTTGGGTTTCGTTCACAGGCAACTTAACTTGGTCCCTGGGTGAATGCCAGGAATGATCAGCAGCTTCTCTAAAGCCCCGGATAGGAATAACTTTGAAAGGCAAAGGGAGAGGAAATCCACAGGACAGAGCTTCATGAAAGCCATTTGCCTCATCATCCACTTTGTGTAGAAGAAGTGGCCCAAGACTACTGAACTCATGGTAGTGGTGAATGCTGTGGCAAATTAGTCAGGGGCCTAGAAGGACAAAGCCTGGAAAGTCAGGGTCAAGGAACTCTAGCATAGAGGCATGTGGATAGAACTGTAGGAATGAGAGAACAAAACGTGAAGATCTTTGTAATGCATGCTAACATGCACCAGAGACCATATACCACAGAAGAGTTACTGAATAACCAGCTAGACAGAGCATCTCAGCCACTTGACACCTGCCAGCTTCTGCCATCAGTGATCATAGTGGTGGCCCAGATATCGCCATCAATACCAGCAGGGTTGCAGGAAACACGGGCTCTCACTCGCCATGACAAATCTTGCTTCTCCTGTTGCGAGATGTCTAGCATGTCGGCAACAAAGCCCACTTCCGAGCACCGCTCCTCAAGGAGGTCAGCCAGCTGTGTGGGGACTGGACGGGCACACTAGGCCTCTTGCACACTCATCCTGATGGATTCCTGCCTCTCCTACCTGTGGAGTCTCAGCCAACACCACGTCCCAGAGTTTATTGAGTATTTGGCCTGCCAGGATGGGACCCCACATAGTGTCGTATCAGGCAAGGAGACACACTTCCCAGCAAAGGAAGCACAGCAGTGAGCTCACGACTCTGGAATGCACTGGTCTGTCACATGTATCCTGCCAACCCAAGGGAAAGATGAAATGGCCTGCTGCAGGTGTATTTGAGGCAACCACTTAGAGATGGTAGCCTGAGAGAATGAGTCGCTGTTCTTCAGGATGCAGTGTAGACACTAAAGCAGAGGCCATTATCTTACCCAACAGATAAGATAACAAACCAAGGAAGATAAGCAGGAGCAATCCTAGTTACTAGTACTCCTAGTTACCCACGTGGGGATTCTGTGCTTCCTGTCATCCCAACCACGGGCTCTAAGGGGTCATGATCCCCAAGGGGGGTACAGCAGGAGTTCCTTTGAACTATAAGCTGGTTGCTGCCAAGGGACTCTGGACCTTTCATGCCAGCAGACCAGCAGAGAAAGAGAGGAATCACCATTTTGGCAACGGGGCAGGTGACACTGATCACCAGGAAACAGGTAGGACAGCTGTTACGTAGTGAGAACAGGGAGGGCTACATTTGGTGCCCACGTGATCTATTTGGGTGTCTTGGTACTCTCCTAGCCAGTATGACAGTAAATGAACAAATGCAGCAGTTCTGGCCTGAGGAGTGCCCAGTAACTTCGGGATGAAGGTCTAGCTCACCTCCGCCCCCAAAACACCCTCTAGATCAGCAGAGTTGCTAGCCTAAGATGACAGTGATCTAGAATGAGTAGTAAAGGATGGAGATAATATCAGTTGCAGTGTCAAGACCAGCAGTGGGGATCTGTAATTCACCCCACTTATACTGCCGTGTAAGTTTCCCCCCAGGACAAGAGACCCTGGAGGGCCTGCAGCCAAAACACAAAGGAAGAGCATTCAAGCAATGCAGGGCATGGACCGAATATAATACTTCCCTTCCCAGATGCCGCCCTCTGGACCGAAATACTTTCTCATCAGCTAGCTATATAGAAGGGTGCGTGTCACTGATAGCTTTAGCTGAGAGCCCTCAGTGTCACCTTTGGAATGTGTTTGGCTGAAGAAAGCCTCACTCAAGTTCATGCTCCTGCCTTGGGGTGGCTCCTACTATGAGGAGTACAAATGGAGGAAAGAACACAAATTAGAGACTTTTATAGTAGCTTAGGTAAGATATGGCAGCAGCAGAGATTAGGCTTTTGGCATTGGAGAGTGAAGTACAGAGATTCGGAATATGTTTAGGAGTTAGAACGGAAAAAAACTGTTGCTCATAGCTTGGATGAGTGATTGAGGAGGAAGGAGGAAACCGAGGTGGCTGTTAGTTTTGTGGCTTGAACAAGTGAGTGTTAGTGGAGCGATGTATGGATATTGGAGACACTGGGGAAAAGTTTGACGTTTATTTGGTTAGTTTGTTAAGCGAAAGTTGGGGGAAATAAGAGCTCCATTTTGGACATAGGCACCTTAGACAGTCATCAAGTAGAGATTTCAAAGAAGCAGTTACATAAGCCTGGCTCTCAGATCTAGGAAGGGGATAGGATGAGAGCACCTAGGGAGAAAATACTCACTGTCAGTTGGAGGAAAAAAGAAATAGTATATATTTTTTTGTTACACAAGGTGTTTTGCCTCAGTTTACCATCAGTGGGTATATTGGAAGGAATACATACTTTAAGCCTAAATGAAATGCGCTTGAATACCAACTCTCCCACTTAAATATTGTGTTTCTCAAGCTGTTTTCATTTCATTTTCATTAAAAAGTTAACCGAAATTTTCTCACTAGTTTATATAGCGCCTATGTCTGCCCCAGGTAAGCAAATATTTATATACCACGTGTTCTTGAAGGCATCTTATCTTTCTGCAAATTTAAACTTGTTAGTTGCCTTGAAAACTCACCTCTCTGATGGGTTAGAGAAAAGTTACGATTTCATAGATTATTTAGGTACTTGTTTGCTAGAGTAGGAGTGATGCTCTTTCTAGATTTTTGCATCTTAAGCAGAAGCACTGGTAGTCTACACACAAGAAACTTGAGATGCCTATAGAACATCTATGTCTTAGATGTTCTAGCTAGGTTTTTAATTGGAAGTCTTCCAAATTAGCACAAAGGCAGTGACTGAAAAGATTGTGGCATTATCAGCTTCAAGATGGGAATTGAAACAAGCAGGCATGGATGAGGTTGCTCAGGGGATATTTATAGATTTACTGTGAAATTCTGAAACTCCTGTTAAGCCTTTAAATATTTTTTCCTTTTCACAGTTTTGTCCTTCTTACATTTTGGATATTTTCCTCGTGAGGTTAATGATGTATTATTTCTTCTATAGATAGTTTATATGAGTGCTTGTTCTTCCAAAGTGATAATGATAGATAAAATGAGCATTTTGGGTTTTTTCTCCCCACAGGAGTTCCGAGTGCAGAACACTACCAAAATAGCTTTAAAAGACTTGTCCTTGAATTTATATGAGGGGCAAATCACTGTTCTTCTAGGACATAATGGGGCAGGAAAATCCACTACACTGTCCATTCTCTCAGGTATGTGTTTAGCTCTGTTCGGGGGTTGCGGGGGAGCCCTCACACAAACGCTGTAGATAAAGCTTACCAGAGTGTTGTGTATCCCCCTCGATGTTAACAGTTTAGTCATTTCAGTGACACATAAAATCGTTTAATAATCTACTTTCTAAGTTGGAAATACCTTCTCGTGAGAGGTGTCAGTTGCCAGGTTTTTCAAAGACATTCAAGTAACCATTATAAACATGTTCAAAGAACTAAAGGAAACCACAATTAAAGAAACAATAGAATGTATGAAAAGAATACCTCAATAAGTAGGAAATATCAATAGAAAGAGAAAATATTTTTTAAAAACCAGGTAGGAATTCCGGAGTTGAAAAGTACAATAACCAAGGTGAAAATTTTGTTAAAGAGGATCAACAGTAGATGTGAATTGTCAGAAGGGAGAATTGGTGAACTTGAAGATTGAGGTTATATGGTCTGAATAATGGAAAGAAAATAGAGTTTAAAAAATTAACGAAGCCTCAGAGAAATTTGAGAAAACTTTGTGAGTGTACCAGCATACATGTAATGGGAATGTGAGGACAGGAGGAAGAGAACAAAGCAAAAAAAGATATTCTAAGAAATAAGGTTGAAACTTCCTAGATTTGCTGAAAACATTAATCTACATATCCAAGAAGCTCAACAAGCTCCAAATAGAATAAAATTAGAGAGATCCACACCATAGTTAAAACTCTGAGAGACAGAAAATATTGAAGGCAGAGTGAAAAAATGACTTGTCACGTATAATGGCACCCCAGTAAGACTAATGACTGACTTCTCATTTGAAACAATGGAGGCCAGGGACCAATGGGACAATATATAAAAAGTGCTGAAAGCAAAACTGTCAACCAAGAGTCTCACCTCTGTCTTTCAGAAGTGAACATTGAACAATACATTCCCAGATATACAGAACCCGAGTGAATTTATTGCTAGTTGACTTGAAGCAAGTCCTTTGGCCTGAAAGCAAATAAGCCCAGATGGAAATTTGAGCACGTGCGCGCGTGCGCACACACACACACACACACGAGTATCGATAAAGATAATTATGTAATATTAATTTATGTATATAAAATGAACACATATTACTTCTCAACTAATCTTAAGAGAAATTATATGAAAATATATAACTAATTTTAGGCTTGCAATGTAGAGAAAAGTAGCCTATTTGACAATAACAGCACAAGGGAGGTGGACAGGAGCAAACTTGTAATAGAGTCAGGAAATGGTGCTTGATGAGAACACAAATCCACAGGAACAAATAAAGAGAACCAAAACTGGTAAATAAGAGGTAAATTTAACAAACTCTATAAATATATAGATGCCCTCCTTTCTTTCTCAACCTCTTTAAGAGACATAAAATTCTGTAAATGGTAATAACAATGTATTCTTGTAATGGTGACATATATAGATGTCATATGATAACAGCAGTATCACAAAAAGAAGAAGGAATAAAGCTACATAGGAGTAATGATTCTATAGTTCTCTGGAATTAAGTCAATATAAATCTGAAGTAGAAACTCTTAAGGTAAATTGTATATGGTAAGCCTCAGAGCAACCATTAAGAAAAATAATTCAAAATATGTAGTGAAAAGAATCATAAAAGGAATTAAAATGTTATACTAGAAAATATCCATTTAATGAAAAAAATAAAGGAGGAATTGAGGAACAAAATAAGACATAAGACATAGTAAAAAGAAAAAGTAAAATGGTAGACATATATCCAGCTGTATCAATAATATACTGTTAATGGATTAAATAATCCATATAAAAGACAGATTGTCAGATGTATAAAAATAAGATCCATCTCTATGCTGTCTGCAGGAGACACACTTTAGATGCAAAACACAGATAGGGTAAAAGTAAAGAATGTCATACAAAAAGCAACCACAAGAAAGCTGGAATAGCTATCCAAACATCAGACAAAATAGACTTTGAAATGCAAAGCGTTACTAGGAATAAGGAAGGATATTTTACAGAAGGGCCAATTCATCAGGAAGTTGTAACAGTTATAAATATATGTACCTACCAACACAGCCAAGATATGTGAAGCAGAAACTGACAAAATTTAAGAGAGAAATAGACAAATTAAAAAATAATAATTAGAGATTTCAATACCCCACTTTCAATAAAGGATAGAACAACTAGGCAAAATATCAACAAGTAAATAGAAGACTTGAACAATACTACACACAAAATATACCTAACAGACACCTACACAACATCTCATGCAATAGCAGCAAAATTTATATTCTTCTCAACCATGTATGGAACATTCTCCGGAATAGATCGTGTAGCAGGCCATAAAAAAAGCCTCAATGAATTTAAAAAATTGAAATCACACAACATAGTTTCTAATTATAATGGTGTGAAATTATAATTTAGCAACAAGAAGAAATTTGGGGATTCACAAATTTATGGAAATTAAATGTATTCCTAAATACTAATGGTAAAAGAAGAAATCACAAAGAAAATTAGGAAATATTTTGACATGAATGAAAATAAAGACATAACATACAAAACATATGAGATGCAGCTGAAGCAGTGCTTACAGGGAAATTTATAGCTATAAATGTCTATTTTTAAAAAAAGAAAGTTCTCAACTAAAGAATCTAACTTTTCAACTTAAATTTGAGCATGCGCGCGCGCGCGCGCACACACACACACACACACACAAGAGTATCGATTAGCAAACTAATCCCGAAGCAATCAGAAGGAAGGAAATAATAGAATTAATGAAACCCAAAATTAACGAAACCAAAATTGGTTCTTTGAAAAGATCAATAAAATGGGTAAAACTTTAGCTGACCATGAGAAAAACAGATGATTCAAAGTACTGAAATCAGAAATGAAAGGTCCATGACAGAAACTAGAAGTGAAAAGGAGTGATCAGCCACTCTCATTTCAATGCATCCGAGAGCAGAATACATTGTTCAAAAGGAAAGCATCTAAATAAACACAATAATGGACGGGACTTCAGGATGACAGGGGTACTTTGGGACATACTGTCAGTCATGTTATTCTAGATATCTCTCAATACATTTATTCTCTTCGTAGCATATTTTAAAAGTAGGATTAATGAGTTACGGGATGGAAAGTGATATTTTCCTCCTGAACTTACCCAGTTATCACAGCTATGGATAAATGTCATATAAATATTTTAAAACTATTTTAGGTTATTATATATTACCTTCCCCAACTAGAATTTAAAATTTTCATTAATAGCAGTTTTATCATCTCGATTTTCAGTTTTAAAAGCATCTACCACAATCTAGTATAGAACGCAGCTTATAACGTAATTCATAAATGTTGTCAAATGACTATGGCAATGCTGGAATGTTCTATGTTAACAAACTCTAAGTGTTTTTATTACCTGAGTGATTTGTACTCATTTATACTCATTGAAAATTAGAACATACAGTTAATGAAGCCAAAAATACAAAATAAATTATTTCTATTATCATCACTCCAAAGATAACAATTGATATTTTCTAGAATGTCCTTCTGCGTGAGATATTGCTAATTCTTTTTTTAGTTGAAGAGTGTAAGACAATTTCTTGTATTGTTCTTGCAACTTTTCTGTAGGTTTGGATCTTTGCAAAATAAAATGTACCTCTAATGTCACAAAATCTTCATATTTTTTAAAAGCTTATGAGAGCTTTAGTATTAGTTTTATTTTTCATTAAATTTATTGGGGTTCCACTGGTTAATAACATTATATATAATAGACCCTGAGGGTACGACTTTATAATACAGCATCTTCATACTCTCTCGTGTGCTCACCACCTAAAGTCTAGTCCCCTTCTGTCACCTTGCATTTGGTTTCCTTTGCCCTCCTCATCCTCCCCCCACTCCCTTGTAACCACGATCCTGTTGTCTGTATCTATGAGTTTGTATCATTTGTCCACTTGTTGCTTTTTGTTTTATATCCCACATGAGTGAAATCATATGGCTCTTGTCCTTTTCCATCTAATTTAGTGAAATCATATGGTTCTTGTCCTTTTCCATCTAATTGATTTCCCTTCACATAAGAACTTTCAAGATCCATTCATGTTGTCACAGATGGCAGTATTTTATCTTTTTTATGGCTGAGTAATATTCCACTGTATAAATGTACCACATCTTCTTTATCCAATCACCTGTTGAAGGACACCTGGTGTGTTCAATGTCTTGACTGTTGTAAAGAATGCTGCAGTGAATGTGTGTGTGTGTATCTTTACAAATAAGTGCTTTCAAATTTTTCAGGTAGATACCCGGAAGAGGGATGGCTGGGTCATATGGTAATTCCACTCTTAATTTTTCAAGGAACCTCCACACTGTTTTCCGTAGTAGCTGCCCCAGTTTACATTCCCAGCGGCAGTGTGCGAGGGGGCCCTTTTTCTCCACCTCCTCTCCAACGCTTGTTATTGCTGGTCCCGTTTGATAATAGCCCTTCTAACGGGTGCGAGGTGGTAAGACGTTGCTAATTCTAATGATTCATTTATAAGTATGCTTTGAAGTTGAGGCGCCGACGAAGTTTGTGGTCATGTTCCTTCACGAGAACTAAGTTTCTGTTATATCTTCTGCTTGACTGTAGGTCTCTATCCTGCTACCAGTGGAGAGGCCTATATTAATGGATATGACATCTCAAAGCAGATGGTCCAGATCAGGAAAAGTTTGGGCTTGTGCCCCCAGCAAGACTTGTTGTTTAATTACTTGACAGTATCAGAACACCTTTATTTCTATGGTGTGGTAAGCCAAAGATATATTCTTTTTTCCCCACTCTATCCATGTACTTAAGATAAAATAGCTACCATCAAAATCATTATTCTCAGAAAGTTCGAAAATTTGTGATGAATTCTCCTTCAAACATAAACAGAGGCAAAGGGGAGAAGACGATGCAAGAAAAATGCTGGTGAAAATGTTCCTGAGCATAAACCTGGAAGCGCCCTGTAAACTCTGGCTCCTCTTTCCAGGTGAAAGGAATCCCTCGAAAGATGTGTTTTCTGGAAATTGACCGAATGCTGTCTACTTTTAACCTGCTGGAAAAGCAAAACGCGTTTTCAGAGTCACTGAGTGGAGGAATGAAGCGCAAACTCTCCATCAGTATAGCACTTTTAGGGGACTCCAAGGTACACGTAAGATAGAAGCTGAAAATTGATCCCCACTGAAGCCATCGTTAAAAAATCGGCTGACACAAACCTGAGAGCTGATAAATATCCAGAAGTCAAAAAAGGAACCTCCCAAATGAAATCCCAGGTGGATTCACGTGATCAACCTTGTTGATATAAAATGATCACAAGCTTGCAATGATTCAGGCATTCCTAATTCAGTCTTAGTCTAAACTTCTTATGTTAGCTCATTTGGACAAGTGACCAAAAAAGCAAAACCAGAGTAAGCCCTGTGACCGATGAGACCCTAGTGGTACATAATGTTTAACAGCGGTCACGGAATTGTTCTTTTTGTCCTTAGGTGGTGATACTTGATGAGCCAACGTCTGGCATGGACCCAGCCTCGAGGAGAGCCGCCTGGGACGTGCTTCACCAGTACAAACAGGATCGGACCATCCTACTGACCACCCACCACATGGACGAGGCTGACATTCTGGGTGACCGCATAGCCATCATGGTGAATGGATCCCTGCGATGCTGTGGCTCTTCACTTTTCCTCAAAAAAATATATGGTCTCTTTCCATTTGATCATTCTTTCAATACTGATGTCTTAATATTCTAACAATTTTCATGGATATTGATATCTTAACATTATTCTAACATAATTTTCACTGTTTTATTTTTTGTGTTCTCTACCCCAAACTTCAATTATTCTCTCTGTTCTGTTAATTGGGATTAACTATGAGTCCTTTGAAAGAATGGTCATATTTTAGTTCTTCAGAATGATTGCATTATCCAAATTTTATGTTCATTTTTTTCATATGGTATCTACTTGAATTGTAATTGGCCCAACTGCTGTTGTGCCTTCAACGAGATAGATTAGATAGATAGATAGATAGATAGATAGATAGATAGATAGATAGATAGATGATAGACAGACAGACAGCAGGTGGATGATGAATAGATAAATTCATGGATTCTAGGAAAAATGTAGGGAATCAAATATCTCCGTTCCTTGTTTCTCTTTTGTTAAACCAGTATTAAATTGCTTTTGTATGAGCAAAATATTTTATTCCAATCTGTAGAAGAATTTTTCTAAACATGGAAAATATCAAGTATGTTCTAATAGCTTCTTTAACTCTTTTAGGTCATTAGGTCATTATTCAAAATCACGCATGCATTAATTTTCTTTGGCCCTAAACAATATTTCAGCACCTCATCTCCAGCATTTCATCTTTCTTTCCATTTTCTCCCTTAAGCACTAGCTTAATAAAAATATAATTTAGTCATTCCTTTTGTTTATTATCCATCGCCCCTCTCTAGAATAAATGCTCTTATCAAGGAAAAAAATTTTAATTTAACTGTAGTCTATGTGGAGTAAGAGTAGATCTCTCACGTTCAATCGGATGAGTTTTCACAGTTGTATATGCCCACTTGACTCCAAGCAGAACAAGCTACAGAGGATTTCCATGACCCCAGAAAATTCTCTTTTATCTCTTTCTATTAATTCTCCTTGTCAGAGGCAGTTTTGGGGAATATCATACAAGTTTGCCTGTTCTTGATTATCCTATAAATGAGTTATGCACAATAATTATTTGTTTCTATTTTTCTTTTACCTCAGCACAATATTTTTAAGATTCCTCTCTATTGCTGCTACATCTATCAATAGTATATACCTTCTACTCTTCACAGACTTTTAGGCTGTTTTAGGTCATTTCCACTTTTCAAATACCATTAACGAATATGCTATAAACTTGCTTGTAAGAATCTCTGTTGTACACAGATTTATCTTGGGTAAAAATACTTGGGAGTGGAGTTACTTGGTCAAGAATCAAGTGTATGTTCTGCCAAAATATTCTCCAAAGTGCTGTGTGATCCCACACCTGCCAGCGTGCTTGAGAATTTAACTCACTTCACATCTACACCAATATTTTGATGCTGTCTTTGGATTTTAGCTGTTCTAGTGAGTGTGAAGCAATCTCTCTCATGGTCTTAATTTTCATTTCCCTTAAGAATAATTAGATTTAGTACATTTTCATATACAAACTGGTTTTTTGCATAAATTACTCTGTGAAGTATGAAAGTCAGCAGCTTATGTTTTTTATTGTAGGAGTTCACATATTCTGGATGTGAGTCCTTTGTCAGATGTATGTATTGTGAATATGTCCCCAAATGTGTTGCTTGCCTATTCATTTTTGATGGTATCTTTTGATAAGCATAAATTTTCAATTTCGAAAAGTCCAGTTTATCAGTTTCCTTTTTGGTCAGTATTTTTTAGGAAACTTTTGCCTATGTAAAGGTTGCAAAGATAGTCTCTTATATTTTCTTCTGGATTTTTTATGGTCTTAGCTTCTAAAGATTTATGATCTCTTTCAAGTTGACTTTTTTGTGAATGGTGTTGGGTAAGTGTTGATTTTTTTCCATTTGTGGAAAATACCATCCTTTCTCTGTTGAATTGCTTTGGCGCCTTTAAGGAAAATCAGTTGACTGTCTATATGTAGGTGTACTTTTGGATTTTCTGTCCTGTTTTACTGATATACAGGTCTGTCTTTTTACAAATAACACAGTCGTGAATACTGTGTCTTTATAGTAAGTCTTGAAAATAGGTGATATATGTCCACCAGCCTTTTCTCTTTTTCAAAATTAGTTCAGCTATTTTAGGCCCTTTTTAATTCCATATAAGTTTTAGGGTCATTTTGTCAAATTCTATTAAAAAAAAAAAGCCTGGAGGATATTGATTGGGATTGCTATGAATCTTTATATCATTTTAAGAAGAATAGTCATCTTAATAATATCGAGTCTTCCAATATATGAACAGAGTATTATTTCTTGATTTGTTTAGGGTCCATTTAATCATTTTTGACTGTATTTTGTTGTGTTTACTACGAAGGTCTTCATTAGATTTGTTCCAAACTATTTCATCTTTTAATTTTATATAAATTATTTATTTGAATTCGCTTTATAATTGTGTTTTCTAGTATATAGACATACAGTGATTTTTATATTGATCTTGTATCCTGTGAACTTTTTATTCATAATAGATCTCATAATACTTTTGTAGGTTCCGTGCAAAATCCGGTAACCTGTGTATCAAAAAGATTTTTTGTTCCAAACTATTTCATCTTTTAATTTTATATAAATTATTTATTTGAATTCGCTTTATAATTGTGTTTTCTAGTATATAGACATACAGTGATTTTTATATTGATCTTGTATCCTGTGAACTTTTTATTCATAATAGATCTCATAATACTTTTGTAGGTTCCGTGCAAAATCCGGTAACCTGTGTTTCAAAAAGGGTTTATTGGCATAAAACAGACACATTGATCAATGGAACAAAATAGAGAGCCCAGAGATAAACCCACGCATATATGGTCAATTAATTTATGACAAAGGATTTAAAAATATACAATGGGTCAGAGACAGTCAATGCAATAAATGATGTTTGGAAAACTGGACAACCACATGCAAAGGGATGAAATTCAAACACTATCTTATACCATACACGAAAACCAAATAAAAATGGATTTATGTCTTTTCAAGTTAGTAGTTTTGTTTTCTTTAAATAAATATGCAGAAGTGGACTTGCTGGATAGTACTGTAGTTCTAATTTTAATTTTTTTGAGAAACCTCCATACCGTTTTTATAGTGGCTGCACCATTTTGCATTTCCACCCTTAGTGTATAAGAATTCCAGTTTTCCCACATCCTCCCCAGTACTTGTCTATTTTTATTTTATTT